CCCACAGGACCAATTTGGGGTGAAGTGTCTTGCCCAGGGACACAACAACATGCTGACAGCAGTGGGGGTTTGAACCTGTGACCCACTGATCCCAACACCAAGGCTCTATCCACTGCACCATACGCCTCCCTATACATTTCGGGGGTACTATAAAATAGTAACTGCTCAGTGGTCCTCAGGTATGGAATGAGACAAAACTATTAAAATGTCTTTATCTTGCACTTAAAGCACTTACAGTAAAGCAAATAGTCAGAGATTGAATATGCTGAATGGCTGTGGACTTCTACACAAATGTACTTTCCTCTAAAATCCATATATATTTACCATAATGTGTCTGTGTTTATTATCTTACCTGTTTTTAACAAATGTTTAGACTGATAAAATAAATACTTCAGCCCATTAAGTAGTCAGGGTTATGGGTAGCTCTTAGGGTTTTTGGTTAGGGCAGGGTATGTATGTGGTATGGGGGTTGAAATGTATCTGTATAATACATTTCTGAACAAAATCTAGAGACCGGGGGAAAAATGACAATAATACTCATTTCGCACTGGTGGATCGTAACCAGGTTGTTGGTAGAGCTTCAAAATGCAAAAAGAAGAAACAGGAGCAAGAGACCAATAATAGAGAGTAGGCAATTTATTATTATTGAACAGGCTGATCATCAGCTGATCAAAAGTTTAAGACCATATCCTTGAAGTGTCAAAATCTGCACAAAAATCATGACCTCCTGATGGCAAAGGCAGAAGGCTCTGTCTTTGAACGTGGCAGGTTGTTGAGCTACACAAGCAAGCTGCCGAGGCTGGATGCAGTAAGACGTTAATTTTAAATTTCTTAAAAGATCCTGAGAGTTTTGGTGGTAGACTCTCTGCGAGAGAAGGGCTTAAAGAACAAAAACGTCTAAGAAAGTTGAACTCTCAGAAAACATTTAACCCGGATGGTCTTGATGGCTTCCAACGTTCCTGTCATGACAAGGAGCTCCCACTGGAGAGGTTTTCTACGGCACAGCGGAGGAGGCTCCATCATGATCTGGGGTGCTTCTTCCTTCAAGGCACAATGGAGCTTCAGGTTATGCTTTATATGGCTCTGTGGAGATGTTGCAGCGGGCATCCCTCTTGACTGAGGGCCCTCGTCTGTGCGGTGATGACTGGGTCTTTAAACAGGACAACGCCTGCCTGACGAAGGACTTCTTCCAGGAGAATAACGTCGCTCATTTGGACCATCCAGCCTGTTCCCCTGGTCTAAATCCCATTCAGAATGTTTGGGGATGGATGGCAGGGGAAGTTTACAAAAATGGAAGTCAGTTCCAGACCGTGGATGCCTTTTGTGAAGCCATCCTCACCTCATGGAGCAACGTTCCCACCAGCCTCCTGGAAACACTCAAGCATGCCTAAACACATCTTGATGTTATCAACAACAACAGGGGGGCTACTCACTACTGAGTTTATTTTTGACACTTCTGTTTGTTGGTTTTTTGGACTATGTTCTTTGATGGGGGGATATTTTCCTAGGCCCAGACCTTTGACACAGTTTATCAGTTTGTACTGCCCTCACTGAGCACATGTAGCCTTGGCTGCTGTGCTCTCAGTGTTCTGTCTCCCTGTTGGCCTCAGCTGATAGAGATGTTTTAGTGCTCCTCCTGTTTTATCCTGTTATGCACAATGTTGATTATTCTCTCAGAACCAGCTAAATACTTGGGTCGGGGGTAGAGATCTTTAGAATTGGTCTGGCAACCTCTGTGACACCTCGTGGCACAGCACATGTCTTGTGAATTCACCGGCCGAAGCTCCAAATAAACCATCAGTGTTTGCCATCAAAGTTCCAGCTCTCCCCGTGTCTCTCTGAGTCCTGTCTCCATTGCTTCAGAAGTTTCCATCGCAGTCTTAAACTTTTGATCACAGCCTGTTTAAATGCAGTTTTCAATAGATTGCCTAGTCTCTATTTTTGGTCTCTTGCTCCTGTCTCTTAATAAACCTGTCTATACAGTACTGTAAGTCTTGCTACCATCTGCTGCTTCATCAATCAATATTTATTGATGACTTTCTGACCTAAGTGTGGAGGACTAAACTGATCTGTACCTGAAAGTCCACCATGGAGAGGATTTCTTTGCGCCACTCGATGAGGAAGGCAGAACAGACGTACAGGTGGAAGTGTGTGAACCCCTCTGTTTCAGCCTGTGGAAAAAGAGAAAAGACATGAACAGGGAGAACCAAGTCTGTCCAGCACTAGGAGGATTACTTCTAGAAAGATTACTTCCTACTGTGAGGGTTTGCTCGTAGTATACACTCTACCTGGTAGGTGTCCCAGAGACGAATAGTGCAACGAAGCGGCAGCTCCCTCATCAGCAGATTGTTCATCCAACGGAAAGCAAACTGCAGATACTCCACCTCGTACCTCTTGAAATGATTGTGAATGTCCTCTGGAGACAGACACACACAAACACATATGGGTTTCTGGTTAATAGGTCTTATCTGGGATCAGCTGGTTAGTCTTATATCACGTTATACATGTATGAGCTCATAGTAAATGCCCCAAAGAGGAATGAGCAACAGAGCGAAGACCATGTGACCTAAAGCCTAATGTGACACTCTCGGACTCACCATCTATCCTGCTGACCAGCTCCTCTAAAGCTTTCACTTTGTTCTGGATTCCAGGCTGAGCAAAGGTGTAGTTGTCCTGAAAGGAAAGCCCTTTCAGTCAACTGGATCACAGTTTTGAACTAAATGTTTATGAGGTGTATGTGTGTGAACAGACCTGTATTCCATCCAGCAGCTTGCTCATGCACCAGAAGCTGTCAGCTTCGATGTTTCTCTGGGTGTCCAGAGGCAGCGCAGCCACCTCAGAGTTCTCCACGTCTTCTGTTGGAACAACAAACAGCACTAAGTGAGAGGGAAAGGGCCTGCCTCACACATATGACAATTGGGCTAGAAGACTGATATACCTGCACTTTGTAAACAATGAGAACAATATTCAGGGACAGCCAAAGTCAAATTCAATTTCATTGTCAATTTCTCTTTGTGTGATACAAACAGAGAGATTAAAATGCTGTATTTAAATAAATAAAATGAAGGCACAACAATCCATTTATAAAAATAACAGTCTACACACAAATTTGGACAGGACACAGGTCTAGTATAGTAAACTAGACTTCTAAACAAATGAATATATGACAACAGTACAATGATATATGGAGCGTGCAGCTTCTCTGCTGGGGTTTTTTGAGGGAATACAGGAGGATTACGGTTCACTTTCCGCAGCTCTCCTATCTGACCCTGTCAATATGGCATCTCTTGTGTAATGTATTGTATATGTAATGTCCTGTGTATGTCACCATCTTTATAAGGAAGTCATCCTTGCATCCCCCCCCATTTATGTTTTGTTTAGTTGTTTTTTCTGTTATCTGGAGCAATGTCTGTTTATTTTATA